AGACAATTCAAAGTATCTTCCCTGACCAAAATGCCATCAAGGTAGGAATTAACAACAGAAAAGCAAGGAAAAAAAATCAATTACATGGAAACTGAATCATAAGACCCTGCTTACACATCACTGGGTAATAGAAGTAATCAGAGATGAAATAAAAAATTTCCTAGAATCAAACTAGAATGAAAACACATCATACCAAAACCTTTGGGACATAGCAAAGGCAGTCCTCAGAGGACAATTTATAGCAGTAGATGCACACATCAAAAAAGAAGAAAAGAAGAAATCAAAACATTAACTACACAACTCAAACAAATAGAGAACAGCAAAAAAAAGGCCACAGCCACCAGAAGAAAGGAAATAATAGAGATCAGAGAAGAAATAAATGAAATAGAGAATAGAAAAACAATAGAAAGAATCAACAAAACCAAAAGTTGGATCTTTGAAAGAATCAACAAAATTGAGAAACCACTGGCCAGATGGATGAAAGAAAAGCAGGAGAGGATGCAAATAACCCAAATAAGAAATAAAATGGCAACATTACAACAGACCCAAGTGAAGTTAAAAGGATCATAACCGAATTCTAAGAAAAACTATACTCCAACAAATTTGAAAACCTAGAGGAAATGGATAAATTTCTAGACACACTCTATCTACCCAAACTACAACAAAGTGATGTTGAAAATCAGAACAGACCCATGACAAAAGAAGAGATTGAAAAGGTAATACTCTGAACAAAAAAAAAAAAATGCATAGCCCAGATAGCTTCACTGGAGAATTCTATAAAAAATTCACAGAAATGCTTGTACCAATACTACTCAAAATATTTCAGAGCATAGAAAAGAGGGCAACACTTTGAATTCATTCTCTGAAGCCAGCCTAACCCTGGTACCAAAACCACTCAGAGACACACAAAAACAGAAAATTACAGACCAATATCTCTCATGAGTATAGATGCAAAAATTCTAAACAAAATTCTAGCCAATAGAATTTAACATCATATCAAAAAAATAATACACCACAACCAAGTAGGATTCATACCAGGTATGCAAGGGTAGTTCAACATTAGAATATCAATCAACGTAATCCACCACATAAATAAAAGGAAAGAATCACATGATCATCTCAATTGACGCAGAAAAGGCATTCGACAAAGTCCAACACCCATTCCTGACAAAAACTCT